CGTAGGTTCAGTATTACATATGTGTTTGGGTTTAAATATGTTTGTACATTAAGAAGAAAAGAGAGGTTCTTCCTTCCAGCAACTTTAGTAAAATTGGTGGCCTAGATTTTTAGGTTGAATTGACTCAAACAATCGAACAAAGATGAAAGAGAAATGAAAAAGAAAATCAGGGGTATTTCTGCCTTGCAGTCATCTTGAAAGTTCATTGTATCTTTTCACCAAATGTCAGCTGCTGTTTTTCCTATTTCCCAGATCTTTCCTTTTTCTATTACTTTATTCGTAGTTGCAAATGTATGTGTCTTAATGCTCATATGTAACACAGGATGTAAGGGAGAGTGCCTGCTTTCCCCCCCCCCCGCTAAAAAAGTTTCTCCTTGGAGAAGCATTTTTATTTCTTAATTTCATCCTCTTTTTATTTTGCCTTGCCCTTTTTGCTGTAACAGTTTTGGCTACCAGAATTTAAAAAGAAAAAAGAAGCTGCAGATGTATTTATTCTGTTTTATTGTGCATTATTCCAGGGCTTTCCTTAATAAAAGTGCTTGGTTTTTACTTTTAACATTTCATTTACATTATCTTAGTGTTTTATTTTATTATGTTATGGCTACTGTCAAAAGGCAAAGCAGCTATATAAAATCACCACCTCTAGCATCTAATTCGTGGTGCGTAACCTTTTGCAGAATGGTGCCATCCAAATGCAGAAAGAAAGTTCAGTATTAACAGGTTCAAATAAATCCTGGGTTAGCAGAGGTCAACGAATAATTCAGTAAGCTCTCTAGTCCCAGAATATTGGTAATGAGAGGAAACAGAAAATTGGGTTTGTGTGTGTGTGAAAGGAAAGGAAAGGAAAGGAAGGAAAAAATTGAGGTTCCATGAAAGGGCAATTTCAATATACCTGAAATTATAAACTGAACATACCATATAGCAACATTAGATAGATAGATAGATAGATAGATAGATAGATAGATAGATAGATAGATAGATAATTGATTCAAGGTTCTCCCTGATCTCATTTAGGAGTATAAGGCTAGCATGAAAAAAATGATTAGCCTTAATTCATGCAAATACAAAATATATAATTGAAGGTATAACTTAAGATCTCTTTCCATGTTAGTCACCACCGGATCACCTTTGGCTCAGCAACAAATGGTTGCTTCAGTGACCATCTGAAGTTACGAGATTGCCGAATGATAGATGGTTATGACCGGTTCTCAGAGTTCCAGCCATCCCAACACCCCAGTGGTCGTGGGAGTGCAATCTGGGCACTTGGCCATGGTTCACACTATTGGTTGCAGTGCCCCATGATCACGTGACTGCCATTTCCGACCTTCCCAGCTGTCTTCTCCAGAAAGTAAACGAGAAAGCCAGCAGGGAAGGCTGCAAATCGCTGCAATAAATCTTCCCTATCCACACACCTTCCCCCAGCCCCCCTGTGTTTACATCAGGGCAGCTGCTTGCACACCCCTGTGAAGCCTCCCTGAGCTATCATGCCACACCTCCCTTGCGTACTTGTGCAGCCCCTAGCACACACAGCCCAAACCTGGCAGCAACCACTTACTTGTCTGCCAGACTGCTTACAAGCTACCTCTGACTCGCAAGTAATCACATTTTGGATTTAAAAGGATTGGATTGAAATAAATAAATTAAATATAGGTAGTCCTTGACTTATGACTGTAATTGAGCCTGGAATTACAGTTGTAAGTTATTGCAGTTGTAAGTCAAGCCATCGTATGACAACCGGATTTTTTGATAACTTTTGTGGCGTTCATTAAGCAAATACCACAGTTGTTAAGCGAATAAATTTTCCCCAATGGGCATTTTTGCCAGAAATCAACAACAACAACAACAAAAACATTACAAGTCGTGCCGACATGACTGCAGGACTTGATTGTAAATGGCTGTAAAGGGGAATTGGTTGCAAGCACCCAAAATGTAGTCACATGATTGCACATGTGTAGGTTTCTATGGGGGCATCGTAACTTTGAAAATGGGGCATAAATAGCTTTTGGGAGTCTGTCATAATTTTTAATGGTCATCAAGAGACAGGCTGTAAGTCAAAGACTACCTGTAAATCTAGGCTGCCAAATCTATCAGTGGATGACAGAAAGAAAGAAAGCAGTAGATAATTTAGAAGGACACCAAACTTGAAAGTTTGAATGACTACAACTGTGAAAATAGTTCCAAAATTTTAAAAAAGCAAAAGACTAAAAGAGCTAATATTTAATTTTAAATTTTTGCCTGCTGGATGGAGGACATGAAGGCAAAATGGAAGATGTATTCTCCTTTTGCTGGACATTCAGTAACTCTAGTTATCCCATGTTACGCTCACAACCGGAGTTGGAATTTAGGAAAGATCCATTAACTTTGTTACAGTGCAGGATAGATCCAGTCTTTATTATTATCCTTATTCTCAGTGTTTATATTTGTGATAGGTTAACAGAAAATCATACAAAACAGAATTGAATTTATTTTCAGAGAGAGAAAGAGAGTACCTGTATACAATTGATATGTATAGATGTATATGCTTTACAATGCCTTGGTAAAGCCACACTTGGAATACTGCATCCAGTTTTGGTCACCACAATGTAAAAAAGATGCTGAGACTCTAGAAAGAGTACAGAGAAGAGCAACAAAGATGATTAGGGGACTGGAGGCTAAAACATATAAGGAACGGTTGCTGGAATTGGGTATGTCTAGTTTAACGAAGAGAAGGACGAGGGGGGACATGATAGCAGTGTTCCAATATCTCAGGGGTTGCCACAAAGAAGAGGGGGGTGTCAAGCTATTCTCCAAAGCACCTGAAGGCAGGACAAGAAGCAATGGATGGGAACTAATCAAGGAGAGAAGCAACCTAGTACTGAGGAGAAACTTCCTGACAGTTAGAACAATTAACCAGTGGAACAACCTGCTCCAGAAGCGGTGAATGCTCCAACACTGGAAGTTTTTAAGAAGAGACTGGACAGCCATTTGTCCGAAATGGTATAGGGTTTCCTGCCTGAGCAGGGGGTTGGACTAGATGACCTCCAAGGTCCCTTCCAACTTTACTATTATTATATGTTAACCCCAAACTGGCTAAGTTTCCCAGGAATTGCAGTTTACTCTGTTCCAACTGCATTCTGTTTTCTCTGTCTCTTTTAGCGGCGCCCATTATGAATTCATCCATTGCCCATGGCTGGGAATTTTTAGAGTTATCAACTCAGTGAATACAGAGGGCATCCGTCTGGGAAAGACTGTTTTGTTGTACACCTGTGAAGTATCTGTGGTTTGCATTCCTGTTCCAACATTGCAATTATAAGGAAGAACTGGGTGATCTCTGATCTCTGCCAAAACCAAAACAGCAAGAAAGAAAAGCAAGGAAAAGCATAATTAGTCTCCGCCTGAGATAGCAGTACTTTTCACCTGTGTTGCAAGGTAAAACCAAAGGGAGTTATTACCACAAAACTTTTTTTTTCTCTTTTGCTGGCTAAGAGTAGAGTTCCATTCTGGAACAATAAGACCTCTTCAAGATATTCTGCTTCGATTGTGTGAGAGCGATGTGCTTCAAATGTCTTTTTTCCTTAAGTTTCCATCAAGTCATGTTTGATGCCTGGTAGACCGTTAGACCCTGTTTTTGTTTTTGGCAACTATGCAGAAATGCTGAAATACACCATTTTTTAAATCCTTTAGGTTGATTTTTTTAGTCCTCAAGCTAAAATTTCCTCATGGTGTTCCATACAAGTATTAGTTGCTTAGCCTATCATGGTCAATTAAAGTTAACTACAATTGTTCACCTAGCTGAGCATGCAGTTAATCAAAGTGTTGATCTAAACACCAACTACAACCTACTTACAAGCCAAACGCACCAGGGACAGACTTGGCTCTCATTTTATTATTATAAAATAACTGATCCTCTGTAAAGGTCTTTTCATTGAAGGACATGGACTGTAAACTATCTCCCTATCCAATGCAGGTTGGCAGAGAGGCAGGTTTTTTTTTTTTTTACTTCATCTTCTAAACTAAGACAAAGTGATCGAATCAAGCTGTCATGCCTAAAGGGGGACTGGAACCAGGGGCCCCACCCCACTCTTAGCTCAGTATCCTAACACTAGACCATACTGGATCTCAGCTTGTTTATATACAAGAGATTACATGACATAAACAAAAAGTAAGAGAACTTGCAGCTTTCTCTCTCACACATTTTCTCTCCCTCTCTTCCCCCCCCCCTCCATTTGTGAGCACACCTGATTTCTTGTTAAGGGCAATCCCTCTGTCTACCAAACACATGGACACAAGCACTGCCACCCCCTTAAAAATCAGCATTCATCTCTTCCTTGCAAAAACTCATTACATACAACTGGGTGAGTGCATGCACTCACTTGTGCCCACATCCACGTAAAAGCTTACAGGCATACTAGTATTCCCCTACCAGAACTGGAACCTGCAATCCGCAGCTGAGTACCCTGCTTCCTTCCCATGCTCCTCATCCAGTGCTCCCAAGCTTTGCTAAGCCCTCCCACCCCACAGCCCCACGTCAGAAACCTTTCCCCACTCCCTTTCCCCATCCCAACCCCGCCCCTTCATCCCCACCCCTTCCCCCCTGCCTGGGGAGGAGGCGCTGCCTTTGTTCCGCCAAGGGTTAACCTGGATTGTGTCTGTCACCCAGTTGCCCGGATGCTGATGTAAGGGGAGAGCTCGAGAGATCCCTTCAGATTGCAGTGAGAGGAGGAGAAGGACCAGCCCAGGAGAAGAGCCTCGCCAGGAACATCCTTCATCCACAGCATCATCCTTGGCTGGACCAGCTGAATGATGCTGGTACCCGGGCTGTAGCATTCTTCCTCCTTCTCTACCCTCCCTTTCCTGATGCCGAGAGCATCCCCCTCCCGCTAAACCCAGCAGGATGCCGGCCTCGGTATTGTCCCTATAGGGGGGGACCTGGGGGGGCCTTGCCTCGCCTTGCTGTACCCCTTCCCATCCCACCACCCCCTGTTTCTGATTGTTGCTCAGAAGGGTGACAGACAAAAGCCATGTCCGGTGGCAAAGAAGCAGGTGGGGTCCACCCCTACCAGTCACAGCAGAGCCAGCAACATGCTCAGTATGTGGGGCCCTACCGGCTGGAGAAGACTCTGGGGAAAGGGCAGACCGGTGAGTCTCTGGCAGATTTGGAAGTGGGGTATGGAGAGAGTGCGCCCGTTTCACGGGGTAGGCATGGTGTGACTAGCTCAGCAACTGAGAAAATTGCCTTCATCTTTGCCTCAGATGTATCTAAAGACAGAGGATAATAAAGGAACATCTGGGGTGTTTTGACCAAACAGTCCAGGTTAATTCGACCTGGTAGGAGGAATAAAAAAAAAAATGTGGTGAGGTGGTAGGTGAGTGGAACTGTTGATCCTATGGCAGACTAAAGGTGGGGTTGAGAGGGTGGGGGAGCGTAGGGTTCTGCTGGAAATTCATTTGGGGTTTATGAGGTGAAGGTGTTAAGAGAAGGTTGCGTTCCTACTTTCCTGGAGGGTTTTTTTGGGGGGGAAGGGAAGTAAATGGGAGCTCTGCTTGGGGCAAAAGGCTTTTGGGGAGGTAGATATGGGGTGGGGTGTGGGGGATAGCACTGGAGATGTTGGAGTGCTCTCAGAAGAAAGATAGTGTTAATCTTGTCTGTGCTGGAGTATGCTGGAGTTAGGTGAGCACTAAATGTTTTGCCTGTTCAAGTGTATTTGGCATGCTCATAACCTGCAAGAAATAACACTGTAATAGTTAAAGAGGCATAGGTTTTAAAAAGGCCACAACTATATTACTACTTACCTTGAAGACACAATGTGTACATGGTCGTAGAGAAATGTGTGTTTTGTCTTTGTAAGAGGTGTGTGTGTGTATGTGTGTGTGTTTGGGGGGGGGCACAACCACTTAAACAGAGGGGGGAAGGTAAGCCATGGATTTCATGGCTGGGTCACTTTTAAGTCTGCTTTCCAAGCTGATTTGCCAGGCAATTGGGGCCTGAAGGAGAGAAGGTGTCAGAGGTGCAGCTGATGCTTTAAAAAAAAAAAATACTGCTGCAATGACCAGGCTTGGTTGGGGAGGAAGAAAACCCAAAATGGGGGGGGAGGGAACCCAACGCAAAGATTTAGGCTACAAAAATAATCTCTTAGGGATGGGGACCTAGGCATCCTGATCTGTTTGTTCTCTGTCTCTCTCTGGTGGGGACTCTGGATCTGAGGACTGAAACTAGGGGTGGTGAAGACTGTTATGGAAAGGCCTATATACATTCCTCTCCTCCACCTCCTGCTGCAGCACTCCGTATGAATGGAACAGGGACTAAAAAAAAAAAAAAAACTCTGCAGGGATGCTGATTCGACTGTGCAGTTTATATACAATGGGCTTGGTTACAAGAGTGACCGCTTAAATAAATGCCTGAGAATGGGTTTTATGCAAATCTGTCTTCTATAGCTTCTTGTCTTCTTTCTTGGTCAGGCACTGAAGGGAAGACTGGAGGGGGGGGGGAAATCTATCCATCTCTCTGCAATGATGCAGGAAAACTCAGACCACAGGCCTCTCTCCCGGGGCCTTTAATTTCTGTGTGTCTGTGGGTCGAATGAGCTTTGAGGCTTCAAAAGGTGGCGGTGGGGATTTCTGCAGTAGCAAAAAAAAAAAAAAAAAAAGGAAGTCATCCTGTCTTTAGAAAGAGCCAGGATACATTTGCATATTTGCCAGTGTATATCTGTGTGTGCATGTTTGGGAGTTGTTATCCCCCCCCCCGAATCGTTATAATAAAGATCTGGAGCAGGTGGATAAAAGAAACAGAAGAGGCAGCAGGGAATAAGGAAGGGCCAATTTTGCTGAATAATCATTTCTTGACTGTGGTGGCCGGCAGTTTATACAAAGATGATTCAAGAATATCCCTACGAATGGGCAGAGGGATGGATGTTGTTTTTGGCCTGGAGATGGGAGGGAGAAGAGGTAGAAACCAGGTGGTTTCTGAGAGCCCAGAAACTGGGAAGCAATTGGGGGAATGCAGGAGTAGTAGGGCAAATGGATGCCTCGTCCGGAGAACAGAGAACTTTACATTTATTTTATCCTGATGATATTGGCATGAATTCCCATCCACTTATTTTCTTGTCTTAGGGAGTTGAATGTTCGATAGGGAAGGAGATGGACAGGCAATAAGTGAAGCTCACAAACAAGTGACATGCCCAAGGTCATCAAAGAACTATTGGTAGCAGAGATGCAAATAAATAGTGATAGATACTTTGGCGTCTCCCTGATGACCCTGTTTAGTTTTTATGTTATAATCCCTAGCCAAACTAAACAGGGATGGTCCAGCTGGACCTGTAGTGTATGATGAATGGCTTATCTGTCCGTGCAATGAAGAATCATTCAGATACGGAGAAATTGTCTTGCAAACTTTGCAAAAGAATCTGTGTCTGATATGGGTAGCAAGCATGGCTGGGCTGAAAGAGTTGCTCTAAAATTATGGAACTATTTCAATAGTAACCAGAAACCTCACTTTTTTTTTTTTTTTTTTTGCAATTAGAATCCCTTAAGTAGGTTTGTTGCATGCTGTCTGGGCAGGGATGCAGCTGGTAGCTTGCTGATCTTGGATTTAGGAAATCCATCAGTTATGAAACCGCAATAGATGAGATGCCATGGAAGTCAGTCATCCTTCAGTCCTACTGAAATCAGTGGGAGCCCACATTATTAGTTACTGTTTTATTAACACTTTTTAGTATTTCAGAGAAGGCATAGACCAAGTTACTAGCCTTTGTCATACCCATGCCACATACAGCATTCCTTAGCAAAGATAAGGATTATAGAGTTTGGGCCCATACATGCTAGTGCAAGCAAATCTTAAACTAAACTTACCCTGAACGTGCTTATGTTGTTCTGTGTAAGCTAGGGTCTTTAATTAAAAAAAATACTTTGCAAGTCAACATATTGCCACATCCTCAAGCATGGACTGACAAGACATACATGGGCATGTCGATAATGTGCAAAATGTTCAGTTCTGAATTTCATTAGAATTAAAGCATGAATGATGATACTGGAGCAAAACAAAGCAGATGTGTATTTGGAAAATCTGCTGGCCTTAGGTATATTTGCTAGATGTGATTTTGAAATTGCTCCTCACTCCTACCCACAAACACAACTTCTTTCTTGCTCAGAGTATGTTTCACAGCTACAGTTATTTCCCGTGGATATTTTAAACTACATATATATGTTCATATGCTTTAGAAAAAAATAATGACCAACTTAGATCCCTCTTATTTATAAATTTAGGTTGAAGAGACACTAATAAAGCTAAAAATGAGCTCTAAGTCTTCATGTTTGGAAACTTTTTTTCTTTTTGCCCTAAAAATAGAACATGGAGATTTTTTACCATCCTCAAACTTTTGTTTAAATTTGATAAGATTACTTAAAGATATTTAAATGGGAGTCTACCATATGGGAAAATGGCCAACCTAGTTCACTGATTTACTCTGAGATATATTCTGTATCTAGTAAATACAGCTAAATATCTATGCAGATTTTCAATAATCCAGGTCATGGTTGTCCCAAAGGTGCTTTATAAAAGGAAACTGGACGCATTTGGCTTCTCAGTTCTGACAGAAGCTTCTTGGATGAGAAGTGAAACATTTTCAAGAAAAAAGTTAAGAAAGTTCAGTTACCTTTTAAAAAGCACCTTTGGGACCTACAACTAAATAGTTTTAGTCTCTTAACTCTCATTGTTTAAGAGTTATTCTTTAAAAATATCTATATGGCCACTCATCATAAAATCAGATCCCAGAAGGACTCACAACGATGATATAAAACAATAACAAACAAAGAATAAAATCAAATAAACAAAAAAACCTCAATAAAATTAGTCTTAACTTTTGCGCACCCCCCATCATTGTTTGCAAGAAATATATTGCTTGATGATCTGATTTGTTTTATAGATATATTTATTTGTTAAAGTTTATATCCAATATTCCCTATAGGAACTGAAGGTGGCACACATGGTTCTCCTTTACCTCTTTATTTTTACCTTCACAGTAACACTGTCAAGTTAGCTTAGACTAGGAAGATACCTGGCCCGAGTCAGCCATGAACTTCAGGCTGAGTGGGGGAATTGACCTCTAAGTCCTATGAAGCTTGTTCCATCGTTTTTGATTTACATCCTGCCTTTCAGTGATAAGATCTTCAAGGTGGCATTTATAAGGTCATCCTTTATTCTTTTCCTCACAGCAACAACTGTATAAAGTACACCGTGCTAAGAAAACGTGACTACTGTAGTTTCCAATTGCCCACTGAGTTCACTGGGTGATGGAGGATTTCAGACTCAGCCTCCATGCTCCCAGTCTAATCCTCTTATACTAGTTGAAAGTCTGGTTCTCTCTTGCAAATAACCGCACCAATATTATGTCACAAAATATATCAAGTCATGGAGTACTGCTGTTTCTATCTTTTTTTTTTTATTGTATCTCCTTCTGGCCAACTGCAATCCTTTTTTTTCCCTTCCCTCTTACTGCCTCTTGGAGATGAGATGCTAGCATGTTGTTAGTTTCAGTCAACTGTGTGCATGTTATCCTTCAGGTTTCAACTGCAAACTCCAACTGGAATCTCACAAAGCAGAACAGATGTGCTTATTTTACATGTGTGCGACGGTGTAAATTCTATAGCAGTGGTTCTCAACCTGTGGGTCGGGACCCCATTTGGGGTCAAACGACCATTTCACGGGGTCGCCAAACAACGCAGTCCGCCTTTTTTTCCCCTTTTCCTGAGCTGTGCTACTCCCTTTTATTCTATTGGCTTTTGAAAGCCAATAGAATAGACTCTCTTGAATAGAGTCTAATTCTATTGGCTTTCAAAAGCCAATAGGAATTGTCCAGGCTGTCTCTGCCCTGCTGAGCCCGCCAAAAGTCCCATTCTGCAAACGGTGCTGCACCAGTTGAGTAGTCCTCGACTTACGACCGGTTGAGTAGTCCTCAACTTACGACCGGTTGGGGGTCGCGGCATTAAAAAGGTTGAGAACCACTGTTCTATAGGCTGGAATGGTGCGGTATTGCACAACGGCATTTCACATGCTGTTGCTGCCAGAGGAAACTATGAAAAGTATAGTGGACAGTATGTTTGCAGGAGTGGGAGGCTTGAACACTTCCTGCAGCCACACATAG